TCAAAGATACCCGAATAACGTTCTCCAGATCTTCTCTTGGAACAATTCGAAGTTTTTTATGATTTATTTTTACCTGTCTGTATTTTTTCCATTGAGTTACTCTGAGATAAGTTTTTCTTACAAAATTGCCCAGGTTTTAAAAAATGACAAAAATTAAGGGTTCGAAACAAACCATTGTTGACGTCATATCGTCCCCAGCCAGCGATTTCAATCCACGTGCCAATTTGAGGCTCCCATTCCGGCGGCGGCAGAGAAATTGGTCGGATGGAGTCGCCAATCGGCGCCGGTTCGGACAAGAACAATAATGCAATGTCATTTTTGAGACTTCTGAACAAGTCTGTTTTGTATGCCCTGTGGGTGAAAACTTTGGCCTCGATCGTGATCTCATCGGGTTCCGGGGTATCTGAATTCAAATCACCCAATTTCACGTACGTTTTTGATGGCTTGAACCTTTTTTTTTGTGAATAAAAACAAATACGCCGTATTTTAAATACTTTCAACATCGTAATACAGTATAACGGGTTTCAGGTTGCCATTGGAAGGTAAAAAAAAATGCATTGTCCATCAAGAATCGTAATTTTGGAGAGGAGAAAATGATTCTCTCTGTGATTTAAGAAAGCATGAATTTAAACTTATATCAGCATTCTCTATTTCGTAAATATTTCATTGCTTTGGAATAACAGTAAGCAGAGTGACAATTTCTTGTTTTAAGCATTTGAATATCACTCAATTATTTCAAAATATCTTAACAATACATTATAAAAGATGGGAGATATTTTCAACATGGAGGACAGTCTTTGTATAAGAAGTTTATTTCAATGTAGTTGTATCTACTGTACATAGGGTCATATCTATACAGTTGGTACCTTGGAATTTGACCTCCTGCAATTTTATGGTCAAATTTGCATTGAGGTTGACTTGCAATTCAACCTCTGCCCTGGAATTTGACCTGCTTCGGCCACTTTTTTGTGCATTTTTGTGCTGATATTTCTCCATTTTAGGAAGAGTCTTTCGCAATTTTACTGCTTTGTGATTCAACCCTAGTCTGGCAACAAATTTGGGTCAAATTGCAAGGTACCAAATGTTTCAGATGATTCAACCATTTGAATTTTAATCCGTATTATTGTCCAAAAAGTCCAATAACTGAATTATGCAAAGCTATGCATTCAGTAAATATCTATAATTTATTCATACAAAAAATTGCTTTTTAGTGGCATGGGTAATATAAAGCTTCAAATAAGTAATCCACACAAAAATCCTTTGAAATATCCTTGAACTTTCTGAAAATAGAAACCACAATACAGCACTAAATTGGTGCACCAAATCAGCGTATGCCTCACAAAAGGCATGAAATTACAGTATTTAAAAGCGCACAAGCAGAAATAAAATGCACAACTTGATGCATGGATATGAAACTTGAAAAAGCATATTCACTTTATAATTGTTATGGCTACCCCATTCCACGTAGCAATGACTGAAATTTTGAAATGTGTATGTTGTTCAATATTCTCAACCAAAACCCCCTCTCCAATGCAGCAGCAGTCAGTAAGCAGACCAAGTTCATCCAGCAACACAATCACCCCTGCATTTAAAATACAACGAGATCTAGTTCAAAGCTCAAACTCTGGGCTTCAAATGGAATGGTTGTGCAACCTAGATGTCGCACATATTGCTACTTACAAAAGTCCTATGAAACGGGTGCAATGCCCCGCGGACAGGACCCAACGTTCATGAATCAAGGATCCCCCGCATCTCGAACAGGCAATCACGTAGCAAATACGAATTCGAGCCAAGTATTCGTAGCCGGAACGCGAGTTTACTTCCGTTCCGGAAATGACCGCAGCTTCCGGCGAAACTCCGGGTTGCTCAAACATATTCCAGCCACCAAAAAGGAAAAACCTGTTCGGAACTGAACAGAGGAAGGATACTTTTCATCAACAAAAATCAAGCACATTTCCAATGAATTTCTTTTGAATTCATTGCTAAATTCAGCCGCCGTTATTCTGCTGTTCCTAATCTTCAGCGCCCTCAAATGAAAGTCGGTGGACATCGTGTCTACGTTTAATTCACTATTCCGGTTTTACTTATAAAACTTTATGGCAGGTGTCGCTTGAACAGTCAAGTAAAATGCATCACCTGCACAATAACCCAAACTTTTATAATGTGAAATACATTACGTCATCGGTATACGTAGAACCATGTTCAAAGGTAAGATGAAACCGACCAAGGGAAATATTATCATCAGTGCACTGATCGCAATTCATCGAATTTGAAGAAAAATGCCTTAGAAATTATTTGGCAAAAATAAAATAAAAATTAATTATTTCGAAACAGTCAGACTCACGTTTGATGTCATAAAACCAGTTGAACCCACTTTCGGTTTTTTGAATGACGAGGAATATAATCACAGCATAATTGATGAAACCGAACCGAGGCACTAACATACTTTTCAAAATTCGCGAATGAACCGATTTTTCTTTTTTCACGTTTCAGCCATGATATAGAAAAAATGTGACTCACAGAAGACCTGTTCTGTTGTGAACTCTGACGTTGAAGTGAGCTTCTTTCTTCAAAAAGCCAATTCGTGTCCCACTTTTTGTATACAGTACACTGGAAGTGGGTCGACTTGCTTTTCTTGTTGCGTCATGATTTTTCCTTATTTTCTCTCTGTTGTAAAATATATATATTTCAATGTTTCCTTAGTTTCTGCAGTTCTTACGTGAATTCGGTGGATCTGGACGCAGACCCTCAATTCATTTCCGTTAAAAATAATTCCAAAAATTCTAGTTGCATAAAATAACGGAAAAATATTTATAAACCAATCAAAAAAAATTTTTAAAGTTTAAATTTGAAAGGAAAAAACAAAGTGGATTGAAAATGTCCCACCAATTTTTTACGTGCTCTAATAACTGTTCAAAGTAGTGAAAAATCAAGCAAAATGACACATTTCCATATTCAACCATTACTAAAAAACCAAATTCATTTGCCTAAAAAGATGACTTCGTGTACTATTTTACATATCCATTTAAAATTCAATGATCAATTGAATGGCGAAAAATCAGCAGCACCTGCATTTTTTATGTCAATGTGAAAGAAATTTGAAAATTCAAAAGCCAGTGAAAATAAAATTTAATGGCGTGCATTTAAAATCATTCGAGGATTTAATGGTGCAAAAAAAAAAGATTATGAAAAAGCAGAACAGATTTCGTCTGTGATGCTTATACAGTAGTAAACATTAAAAAAATTATTCAAGTTGTAAAAAAATGTGATACTACAACTCCTTTAATCGCAGGATTTATTACGGAAATCTACTTCACTGCTGATTTGAAGTTGAAAAATCAGGCGATCTATTGTAGTCATATAGAAAATGATTTTCGCCACACAAAAAAAAAACAACTTCAGAATCACAGAATTTGAAAAATAACCGGACATCGAAGCATTACATGCAGAATAATTCAGCACAAGTATTCGCAAATTCCCTATACAACGATGCTTTTATTTCCTCTCGCACATACAAACACTAAACGCCGTTGCTAAAAGATTTCCAATATTGCACAAAACGCGCTCTTGAACAAATAAAATGAAAAAAACGGAAAAAAACCAATAATTTCTTGTTTGGATTAAACCCTGCTGAAAGAATGGCTGATGTCTCCTCAAAACACCTAAACCGAACTGAGACACCAAAAAAAAATTTGATTCCCCTGAACTCTTCATTCAGATTTCAAAATACGCTCCTACCAAAATGTTTTTGTGCAGATCTTTCTTTTTTTTTTTCCTCGAAATTTCCTGACGGCATTAGTACGTATTTTTCAAACTCAAGATGCATTTTTTCCCGTTTGACAAATGCGCAATGAAATCCCACTTTTTTTTAATTTTTCAAGCGAGTGAATTTTTGGCTTGTTACACCACGGGTGACTAGGTTCTTTCCGTTTCTTTGGCAATTTGGTCGCCATTGCTAATTTACAATCACGGCTCTTGGAATTTATAATTCGCCTAAATTTAAAATGTGCGGAAAAGCATTGAAATATTAACTCCTCCGATTCAGAAAATTCGTCGGACGAAGACTAACGACAGTACATATTACTTTTCTTTCATGTTTTTGAACACCTCAAGTTCACTTTACAGTGGACTGAATTGTTCTGAAAGAAGTTTTCCGTTCTGAAGTTTATCATGACGAACTTTTCTTCAAATATAATTATGCAGTATGCTTCAATTATCGGTTCCAACAATTTCAAACATTTGAAACGAGATCGAAATAATTTTCGTCCAATTTTCTTTTGACTTTTGAAACTGAGCACCTGAGAAAACACATGACTGTATTTTAAAGAAATTTGAAAGATTTCCTCGCATGAATAAGTAGATATGCCCCTCTGAATATTCATTTCACTCTGTGATTTCTCACAAATGCCAACATTATTTCCAGAGAAACGTATTTGTAGCAACAGAAAATCAACAAAAACGTTCAACAAATGATGAAGAATTTTTCTTTGCAGGAATGGTCTGATCAATCAAAAATTATTTTTTTCAGTGGACTCTCAATTGGATGGTGCTCAATTATTCCAGTGTTCAATTGATCAAGTGAGAGAAGAAAAAAACCCCGAAATGGAGCCTAAACATTTTGGAATCCGTGTTAAATGTTTCCATGACAAAATAAAAGGTCAATTCAAACCCCGCATGTCGTGTTGCGTGGAAAACGGCACAGTATTTAATAAAATTGACATTTTTTGCTTTGCTGCTCAGTCACAAGAGCTTCATCAACCAAAGGAAACTGAGATTCGAAAAAAAGGAATCTTTCACATCTGGAGAAGGGATTAAACTTTGATGATTTGAGTTCGAATTGATCAAAAAATGTATTTAAAATTCACAGCTATTCTAATTCAAATTTTAAAAATTCCAGGAAATTATGGATGATGGATAAAATTTTCGGGAAATGATGGGGAAAATTCTGATGACCCTCGAAGGAAAAATTATACTTAATAATAATAAAATGAAGAGAAAAATCACGCTTGGGCTGGAGGAAGCTGGATCCACACCAGCTGTTGGGGCACCGGAACGGCGCCTATTTCGCAATTGACCGCCTTATCGCGGCCATTGGCCAGAAAAACGGCCTGGCGACTGGTTGTCGCCACCCAGGGATGGAAATGGTTCGGACAGGCCACCAGGGGGCGCAAGGGTAGGCCCCAGGAAAACGTGGGTTTCTCCGGACCAGGCCCAACTCCAGTCAGCACTTCCACGTGCCCTGTACAAGGAAAAAATCTCATTACTACAACAAACTCAGCAGAGAGACTTTTTGAATCATTTGTGCAATTCTCTGATGTACTACAGTATATGGCTTACAAGTATTGGAATTCAATGAAGACACCCTTTGTTGGGCATGTACGCCGGGTACAATAGAATACTTGAATTCTACGAATTAAAATAATATTCCCCCTCCTCAAAATCGCAGTGCCAGGCACATCCTGGTACCGGATGTGCCAAGCACTGTAGCATCTTCGACGATAACTCTTCCTGCCATCATTGAAGGAAGTAAAACCTTGTGAAGGTTAATTACGTTAATTATTATGAATGCTATATAAAGAGCTTCGATTATCAGTAAGACAAGTTCAGTNGTCAAATTCGAACGGACCATTTTGACATATTTGGCAATGCAGATGACTCCGATGTTGCTCAATTAGAGTTGTTGGATTATTTTAAGGGTCTTACTCTTTGTAATAATCGCGTTGTTGCTAAAATACCAAAAAATCCTTGTTTTCCGGCTTACTGTAACCATAATCTTCGTACAGGAGAACAACGTGTCCATTCTGTTATCCGTATGTTGGAGAAGGGTGATCGCATTGCACAGGCGTATGTCCAGTTTGTTCAAGATTGGGTGGATGATGGGATTATTACACCTACTACTTTAGATGAATTAGAACAACGTGGCACTCCTTACACCGAATTACCTCATCATGGTGTTGCCCGTCCTGAACATCCCACGACTCCATTAAGAGTTGTGATTGCTGGTGATGCAGCCGATAAGTCAAATTCGAACGGATCATTTTGACATATTTGGCAATGCAGATGACTCCGATGTTGCTCAATTAGAGTTGTTGGATTATTTTAAGGGTCTTACTCTTTGTAATAATCGCGTTGTTGCTAAAATACCGAAGAATCCTTGTTTTCCGGCTTACTGTAACCATAATCTTCGTACAGGGGAACAACGTGTTCATTCTGTTATCCGTATGTTGGAGAAGGGTGATCGCATTGCACAGGCATATGTCCAGTTTGTTCAAGATTGGGTGGATGATGGGATTATTACGCCTACTACTTTAGATGAATTAGAACGACGTGGCACTCCTTACACCGAATTACCTCATCATGGTGTTGCCCGTCCTGAACATCCCACGACTCCATTAAGAGTTGTGATTGCTGGTGATGCAGCCGATAAAGGTCAGGCGTCTTGTAATGATTTGTTTAATAAAGGTCCAAAGTTACTTCCCAATATTGCGCATATGCTCCTTCGTTTACGATTTGCAGAATCTTTTGGTCTTGCGGATGTTAAAAAAGCTTTCGTTCAAATTCAATTACATGAAGATGATCAGTGGTTGCTTATTATTCGTATGCCCCAGAAACAGGCTGACGGTTCTTACACCTTCCAATTTTATCGATGGTTGCGTTTACCATGGGGTATCAACTGTGCTCCGTTTATCTTAAATGCTTGTGTTCGCTTTTTATATCGTCATGCTCAAGCACA